ACTAAGCATAAAGCGCAAGCAATAGGAAATCTGATAAGAGCTTTTCTTCGGATTAAGCGGCACTAGCGAATTGCTTTCGGTTATTTTTTTTTCAGCAAATAAAAAAAATCGGATAAAAAGGAACAAACATTTAACGTATTAAAAGACTACGTTTTATGATCATTATTGAGTCTGGGTTTTTAGGTTTGAAAAATCAATTTCTTCAAAGACGAGTTCGCTAAAATTGTAGACATAAGGCAGTGGTCTCAAACTGGTGAACCCCAAAGACATTTTATACAGCTTGCGATAACATTTGAATTATATGATTAATGCAAATATGATGTTGTGAAGATTTAAAGATTTTAGTTAATTGAAGTCTTACATTATTTAAAATAACATTAAAAATAAACATGAATAATACACCAGAAAAATCTATTTACAATGTGGTTTAAATTTCTTTCTAAGATCTGAAGATATAGATACCATTAGTTTTACTCATTTTTGTCAAAAAATAAATGTACTCAGTTACGAAATTGTTTACTAAAAATAATTGTTTTCTTTGAAAATACGTTTGTAAGTGAGCAACTATGCACATTTGAAAATCGCTAAAAAAAAGAGCCCAGTTGACCGTTGAGAAGAAAAAGCAATAAATCTTAATATATAAAGTTCATGCTTGTCGCACTAAGCTGACAAAAGCTCAACAGCTAGAAGGAAAAGGTTCGCCGTTACCTTCGCAGGTAGTCTGGGAGGGTTTTATCTTTGTTGTGTAAGACAAAAATAATTGCTAAGTGAACCAATCCATTTTAAAATTTAGGGAGGCTCTTTCTCTCAACACACTGAGAAAAGACACACAGCACACTCTCAACAACACACTCTCAAACACACTATACGAATATTTTTAAAACTTTCAGAACCTGTTTTTGCAAACTAAGGGGAAGAAATATGGTATCTCGGTCAATTTATTTAATAAAGAAGTCAATGCTTTTTCTCATGTACAATTAGTATGAGATTATTCCTCGATATTAGTATAAAAGAAAGTATAAGAACGTATAAAAACCAAAAGAACGTAGTATAAAAAGTTAAATTTTGCGATTTAAAAAGAGCTCATTTTTTTATTTAAAATACTATTTGTGCCATTTGAAACATTTTTGCGAATGGAAGTATAAGGTTTATGACCAAGGTTTACGTAAGTAAAGAGGGAATGAGGGCATTTGTGTGTGTGTATATATATTTATACTTTTTTTTTTCTTTTCTGACACCAGTTGTTACGTTATTTTCTTCCTTCACGTTCGTACGGGGTTCGTGTGAATTTGAAGTGAATAATGACGACACTTGCTGAAGTATCGAATAACAACTTATTTAGCCAATACTGATAGGATAGCTCCAAAGTCCACTTTTACAGTCGTCGAAGATCTACTATAAACACGCTGACACGATCAGCGACACAGCCCCAGGTTATCAGGGCTATTACGGTGGAGGGACGGCTCATGCAAGCACTTCGTAACAGCTCGCGACTCTGCTTGGTCGTTCTCAGAACTCCACACACTCTTGAGACTCTCCACGCTACAATTCGCGATGCACTCGACGACACACAGCTCCTGACTCTTCGGTTCAGTCGTTCCCGGAGCTCAACACGCTCTCTCGACGATGCATACCGCGATACACTACGAGACTCTTACGATGCACTCGACGACCCACTCGGCACTCGCTGCCCGGCTGTCAACTCGATCGACTTTGCAGGGACTGACTCGCTAGAGAGGAGACACCAACTCGATACTAACTAACTCGCACTCTGGACGAGGCACACACACACTGACTCGGACCAGCAGGTTTATTTTAGCTTCGGCTTGTGTTGGGATATCCAGACTAAACCGGTAAGAAGACCGTTCCAGAAGTTCTCCAACCGTCCATGGTATATCGCCAATTTTGTTGCCAAATGGACGATTTCTCGCCAAATGTGGCAACTCTGCCCTCCTTTGCAATTTTATGGAAACCCTAAAACTGCTTTGCGGGGAAGCCATCTTACCGCGCCTGTACATTTCGTAACAATATATGAATATGTAAAATATAAGCTATGAAGTTTAATTGTAACCATTTTACAATAAGCTTTCAAATTCATCAATTATAATTAAATAGGTCCACGCTTCAAAGATACAGTTTTCACCATTTCTCTTCACTACAGCATGTTACGTCACTCTTTCCCTGCAGTGTCCATATTGCTGTAAAGTTTTCTCCTATCGATGCTCAGAATTGACACAAAGTTCCAAGTTCCGTTGAATATGCCACGAATAGTATGCATTCCGCATGCTTTGTTCCGGCTGTCTTAAAATCATGCTTCAAAGAGCCCATCATTTGGGCGAATGTTGAACGTAAGTCCGGGGGACAGGCTAGTTGGTGAAAGAGACCGTGACCAATAGTCATGTGTAATAGCGATGGACATCGGATTAGCAGATACACCAGAGTAACAAATCTCAAAATAAAGTGATTTCATGGCGGAAAATACAAAATAAAATATGAAAAGTATCTGAATAAAATATTAGAATGAGATCTGCATTGAAAAGTTCTTGGTCTTATCACATTGCATTATTCAAAACATATCAAAGTACTTGGTAATCAGAAGTCCATAGTCACGTGACAGTCTCCCGTCGCATTAGTGAATCGAGATATAATACGTGCAGAAATCAAATGGAATATAATAAAATAGTAAAGTAAATGAAATTTTCAGTGATATTTATATAATATTTACATATGTACATAGGCAGCATAAGAGTTACTGCTGGAATAATTAATTATGAGAAGCTTCTAAGAGCACAGAAAAGTGACTAGTAAATCACAGTCATGTGATTTGATCTTCCTATCAGTGGAACCACGGGAATAAGTTCATGATTGCCGGAAAACCTCAGTAAATGGTAAAGATTTTAAATTGGAAAATTTAAATTTCCCCGCTCTTGGATCATAAAGGCAGCAAAGGTTCGGAGATGCTTATCCTCATTGAGGATATCGTAATGGAAAATTCTAAAGTGCTGCAGATGAGAGCAGTATATTTCGAAGAATTTCAAGTTATGCAGGTAATCCTTAATAGATTCCAGTTTCGGGTACCTGTGAAGGAGATCATTTCGAACAAAATAATGTGAGTTTGTTTTATCCGTAAGTATTTATTGTTCCAAATTATGGATCCGTAGGCCACGATCTAGAATTTTTGAATGTCTTTATCGGTTGTTGCAGCCCAGGCGGTTGATGCATAGTAATGGAATAGTTCATTATCGGGCGTATAATGGAGGTGTATACAAGTTTCGTTTTTGCTAAATCTAACTTGGAGTGTTTTCCAATCATGGGGTACAAACACTTTATGAGTTTGAGGGCTTTGTTGCGTAAATGGTTTATGTGCGAAGTCCATGTAAACTTGCGTTTAGTATGACGCCTAGGTATTTGCCTTCTCGTACACTGGGGACTTCTTCATTGAATAGAGTAAGTTGACTTCTTATGGAAGCATTCCTTTTCATGCGACGAATGAGCAGTAGTTGAGATTTTGGGGCCTTTATGCATACTTTCCATTTCACGCACCTGTTCTCACTAAGAGGGACGATTTTTTTAGGTTGCTAGATTGTATGGTTAGCGTTTACAGACTTCACTGCAAGAGCAGTGCTGTCTGCGTAGCAGGCCAGTAAAGCATTATTGTGAATTTACATAATTTACAAGTCACGAGCATAAAATAGATATAGTAAGAGCCCGACGACCGAGCCCTGCGGGACTCCAGCATCGATGTTTTTAGTAGCAGAAAGTGTATCTCCCATAGCAACACGAAAGGTGTGATTTGTAAGAAACGAAAAAATCACTAGAATGAGTTCTCTTGGCAGATGAAGATCAATCAGTTTAGCTATGAGTCCTTCATGCCATACACGGTCGAAAGCTTTCGACAACTCCAACACGAGGAGACCAATATTGAGCTTGGAGTGGAGAGCAACTCCAGTAAATTCCGTGATTCTTAATAATTGCTTCGTGGTGGAAAGACTTACACGAAAGCCAAACTGCTCAGGGGGAGAAGTCTAAGGTATGGTTTTAGTCTATAGAGTAGGACTCGTTCGTACACTTTTCCTAATTCAGGTCTGTAACCATCAGGTTGAATATGATCTTTTCCTGATTTAGGTATGAGGATGATCTTGGCCGTTTTCCAACGCGTCGCTATATAAGAAATAGATAAGCAGGCGTTGATAATGCCGGAGAGTTTACAAATAATACTTTTTGGTAATGCACAAATAGCTCGGTTTGAAATACCGTCAATACCTGGTGTTTTTTTTTATTATTTAGTTTTTTGATAATGTTCATCACTTCAAAGGAAGTAGTCAAAGGGATGAGATTTCTGACTGATGGAGCATCAAAATTGATACAAAGAATTTCCGGCTATAAATACCATCGTAGTGAGTACGCATTACCTTTTTCTCGTCCGCTGCTGCTTAAGTAAACCACGTACCTCGCTTCACCTTCCCTCTCTACTATTTAACATGTAAACTTCGTATATATAAGATGAAGGGTGCGTGTAGCAGCCCCAGCATTGTACCACTTTTAAACAAACATGTGTTTCTAAATAATGTTTCCTGTTCAAAATAAAAATGTTGTTTTAGCCATCAAGCTTGTTGCGATTTTTGCAGCACAGTCATCCTCTGAGCAACAGTCTTCTCGGCCTTGGCTAAAGAATGAGTTGGTTTCATCTTTCGCAAAAGCTATAATATCCCACATCTATAAGCATACATACATATATATATATATATTAATATATATATATACCATTTTATAATCTTCTGATGATAGATGAATATACACTTTCAAAGTCTATGTATATCATTATTTTGCGACTATTGAGATATTTTTTAAGTTTCTTATTATCAATAAAATTCTGAAGGAAATTAATATTATTTCTCACTTTCATTTATTATTATGTTATATCAGAAAAATATGTACCCTTTTTTCTCCGAATAAAAAAGGAGTAAAATAATGTCTTCTCCGTGTCTTTTTAGAATGACCTGCACCGCGCCATGCAGAGATCACAGTCCGCCCTCTCCCAAAGACTAATGGTCCTTTCAGCAACACTTCTGTGCCTCATATTCACAAGGTAAGACAAATTAAATTTTAGAACCTAAAAAATATTAGCGTAAACATGTCTACGGTATTTTCTTTCGTATTTTTCTTCTTTTCTTAACTAATTTTATTATCTAAAAATCCAGAGGGGAAAATTATGCGAATTATTAAAATTCTGAAAGACGTGGTTAGAGTAAAAACATAACAAATGAAAAAGATTTATGGATAAACTACTTGTAACTATCACTATATTATTCCTTTAAAAGAAATCTTAAACAATACACAGTAATGTTAACATTACAATAGCTAAAGGATATGGAGCCGATATCTGAGGATAACTGAGGCGAACATGTCTCAGCACGATTTGTAAGGCTCACTTATCTTATAAAGCCCCCAGGGGCACCTCACATAAATGAGTCTTAACCGCAGTTCCCAAGAAGGACATCGGAGGACGAAGGAGAAGGGAAACAAAAAACCGATTTCAAATGATCAAACGCATCAGCAATAAATAACGCTACAATGATCTGTATATGTGCACAATACATAAGGTTATGTAAATAATAGAAGTAAGGTCAAACCACGAAATTGGAACGTTTCTTAAATGGGAGAACACCTGCCACGTTCAAACAGCTTGACGAGGAATCTGCGCAAAGTATGTTTCAAATTATAAATGCATGGGAAAAGAAAATGCATGAAACGCTAATACAAAAATGCAAACACAAATTGAATACACTAGTGGCTCTATAACTGTGCTCCGCGACATCCGCGCCTACTTAATCGCAACATATGAACGCACTATATCTCAAGGTAATCTAACCCGGGAACACTTACAACGCTAGAATGACCTTTTCATGGCTTATTCCGTAAAAAGAAACAGTAAACTTTTCTTCGTATTTGCTGCTAAAGTTAGATCACCATGTCGTTGATTCAGATTTGCGAGTACCAACTTCCAGAAGTCATTTTTACCCTGGAGTCGAAAATCCAACTTTTTTTTTTTTTTTAGCCCGGATTTCTTTTGATTTATGCTAGTCACAGAAACACCAGTCAAATCAACAGTAAGTGTAACAATTTCGTTAGCGGATTCATTAAGAAAATAATAATATGACGAAAGCATTCATTACGATAATCTTAGCGGAGCCGCTTAGTGGTTTTCGAGGCGTATAAGGTTTTGAAATTATACACATATGTCAAAAATAAAGCAGACGCCATAAGAGATGTTTTCTTCTCCTTCCGTTCGGTGAATGATTGAATGCTTTAATTGCTCTTCTCATCAAACGTGGGATGAGATCCGAGTTGCTGAAATTTGCAGGTTCGCCGATAATGCCGGAAAAAGGGGATTCTTCCTATTGGTCATGAAATGACTGATATGATTTAGCAAGTTTTTAAACAAAATGCTGAATGCAACGTAATCTATTTTTCATTACTTTTTCTTTGCTTTTCATAGCGTAATTTGTACAATATGACAGCTCGAAGAGGTAGAACTACGTTCTGCAGCTGACGCGTACATTTTCAACTACTATATCCAGTGCTCTCAACTTAGGTTGATCGTTAATAAATACACTTCGCGGTGTGCAGAATCTTTGTGACTGTTCTGTAAGATCTTGCGGAAAGCATATGAGCTAGCATTGCCGGTTAGATTCAGTCAGTCGGTTTATAATCTAAATCTAGCAAAATTATAAACTCAGCGCTTCATATAAATAAAAAAACAGTGATATAAATTAGTTCATATAGTATAGTTAGCGTTATACACTGACTACCATTAAGTATTTGGACACCTGTGATAGAAAAGAAAAACTAACTTTATTCAAAATCAATAGTTGGTAGAGCTTCCACGAGAGGAAATTACAGCGTGGACCCTCCGGAGCATACTTTCCACAAGTCTTTGTATGACAGCTAGTCGTAGTTTCTTCCACTGGGCTTGCAGAAGGCATAGAAGTTCCTTCACCGATTTTGCACGGGTAGTGCACCCCTGAATTCGGCGATGCAACTCGTTCCAGAGGTTCTCGATAGGGTTCAGGTCTGGAATCTGGGCAGGCCAGTTCATTCAATGAACTCCATTGGCAACATACCAAGCCTTGGTTAACGTCGAAACATGACAACTGGCATTGTCGTCCTGAAAGTAACAGGGGTCCAACCAGTAAAACTGCCACAACGTAGGAAGCAAATTGTCATCCAAAATAGTGCAGTAGGCATCGGAGTTGAGCTTACCATGAATGGGAACCAAGGGTCCCAGCCCATACCAGGAGAAACACCCCCAAACCATAATTCCACCTCCGCACTGTTGGCACAATGCATTCTGGCAGGAGACGTTCTCCAGGTAGACGCCAGACCCAGACCCTGCCATCCGAACGGTAAAGGGTGAACCTTGATTCGAACCCGTTTCCAAAGAACCCGTTTCCACTGATCTAAGGTCCAATTTCGATGTGCTTTGCACCACATTAACCGAGCAGCGCGGTTGGACTTTGTGATCAAAGTCTTATGGGCAGCAGCACGACCATGAAAACCAAGCAGATGTGCTTCCTTACGGATGTATTCATTGAAACAATACTCCCGGATTCCCGGATGCCTGTTGAAACGCTTCGCGGATGAGGGCCATAGGTTGGGTGCGGTTCTTCCGAATTTCTCTGGACAGCACTCGTCGGTCTCTATCTCCCAGTTTCGTTAGTCTCCCGACTCGAAGCACATTCCGACAATCACCGCTCACCTTCCACTCCTTAATCACATAGGTCACTGTCGATTTTGGGTACTTCAGATCGCTAGATATGTCTCTTAAGGATCGGCCACATTTGTGATACCCGATAATTATACCTTTCTCGAAATCAGAGAGCTCAGAACTGCAAGGCATCTTGCATGCAACTAAAGCCGATGCTGTTTCCTACACGATATATACCGGCGGAGTCCGTGACGTACCTTAGGACCGCAGATATCGTCATTTGCATAGGTGTCCAAATACGTATTGGTAGTCAGTGTACAATTTCTTGTTTTTTGTCTTTGATAAATAATTTTGTGACTTTTTGCTGTTGTGTCTTTGATGATGAACCGATTTTGGAACAATAATAAACGTAATAGTCCAGGTCAAGAAAGTATATCTTAAACCACGGGCACGACTGTCAAGAAACGAAAATATCGTACATATGATGACGGCTATTTAGAGTTCGGTTTTACGTCAAGAGAAATGACTTTTGAAGAGGGACCGCAATGTGTATTGTGCATGAAAGTTTTGGCATCGGAGTGTGTGCTTCCAAGATAACTGAAGTGCCATTTAAAAGCTAATCACTACAGCATGGTTGTCAGAACTCGAAGATTTCTTTTACCAGAAAGTTGAAAGACCTGAAACAAAAAACATTTTTTTAACTGCGTGAAGTCATTAATACCAAACAACGCTTTGGCTATCATCTTACAAAGTGGCTTACAGAATCGTCGAATGTGAGAAGCCTCATAGCATCGCAGAAAAACTATATTCGACCGGCCGCTGTAGATATGTTGAACATATGGTTGGTGAGTCTGCTGGGAAGCAGTCGGAGAATACAACATGTGTCGGGCCACCCTACCGGTATAATGGTTAGCGTCGCTGCCTGCCGGGCCCAAGGGCCTGGGTTCGAATTCCGGAGAAGGCATGGATGTTTGTAAATGTACAGTGTCGGTGCGGCATTCCAAATATTCAACGAGCCGAAAGTCCCTTCTTGTGACATGGTGGAAGGGGAGAGGGGTGGAAGACCCTCGAACTGGTCCCCTTCCCGGGGTGCTCTCAATCAAACTTGTGGCAGAACTGAGCTAAATCGCCCTGTCTGGTGCTCAAGGCTGTTGCCAATGGTAGGCGTAATCTAGCGCTCCTTGCCACGAGAAATTTCGTGGGCTTGGGCTGGCTATGTCAGACAAGTGAGCATAAGCAACACAACATCACATATATCAACGATCAATTAATTGAAAAGTTAAAGGAATGAAATTTGTATTGCAGCTAGATGAGAAAATGATACCCATTTGATAAAGATACCCATTTTATAAGCTATGTACTTTTATATATGGAAATAATATTAAAAAAGACCTTCCGTTTCTTAAAAATACTAGTGCAGGAGTAAAGGCTCAAGACTTATTCGAGATTCTTGATACATTCATATCTGAAAATAATTTGAATTGCCCTAAGTGTGTTGGTATCGGTGAAGCATTATAGGCGCTTATTCGAAGCAAATCACTAAATGCACTGTGGACCATAGCATTATTCACAGGGATGCAATTACGTCAAAGAATCTAATTCCTGCACTGAATCAGGTGTTAGAATGCGAAGTGAAAGTGGTAAATTTTATAAAATCTCGTCCATTGAAAGCAAGATTTCTTTTTAAAAACTGTGAGAATATGGGAGCCGAACACTCATCTCTTTCCACTGCAGCAGTGCACGATGGCTCTTCCGTGGTAATGTTTATCACTTACCTTCGAATCGCGGCATGAATTTTTTATTTTCCTTAATGAGGAAGGATACAAAGGTATAGACTATTTTGCTGATGCCGATAGTTTTAATAAAACTGGCATATTTACGTGACATTATTTAAGAGCTGAATTCTCTTATTCTCTCTCTGCAGGGAAAAACATGCACTTTTTGAAGTCAACGGAGAAAGTATCAGCTTTTATAAAAGCAAAAAACTCAAACAATGGAGAAGAAAATTGAATATTGAATGAAAATGCAGACAAAGATTTTTTTTAATATTGCAGCAAATCTTGATGTCAAATGAGCTTGATCTTTCACAAGACATAAAAACCATGTCTGAAGGACACTTACCGCAGCTAATTATCTGGTTTGAGAAATAGTTTTAAATGAAAATTTCGATAGGTTTGTATGGATTCGATATCCATTTATCACTAGTTGCTGTGTCTGAATTTACTTTTAAGGAAGGGAATCCTATCGAGTTAACAGTTTCAAAGCAAAACTTGGCAGCATGGAGTTGCTAGAATTTTGGATTTCAATAAAGGACGAATATCCCTTCTAAAAGCGGATTTCAATTCCATTTCCGTCGTCGTATTTGTTGGATGTTTAGGTTACGGCAGTTGCTGTAGTAAAAAGCAAGTATAGAGCAAAAATTTAACGTGGAAAAGGAAATGAGGACGGACGACTCCAGTTTATCTCCACGACTTCAGAAAATGTGCAGTGATGTTCAGGCTCATCAATCACATTAATTATTAATTTAATGTTAATAAAGTAAAAAAATGTTAAATAATGAAGATTGCATGAGTTTTTGCTTTTTTTTTTTTTTTTTTTTTTTTTTTTTTTTATTATTTTATTTTTTTATATACAATTAGTCATACTTTAACTTAGGGTAAGACGCCATAGAAAAACTTTTAATTGAAAAAAAGCGTTGCGAATCGGAAACGTTTGGGAACCACTGGAATAAACTAAATAAAAGTAAAAAAATGTTCAAAGTAATACAATTTACGAAAAAACCAGCTCTTAGAGGGAAAATCTATATGTACAGTATAGAAAAGTGGAAATGATGCGAATATTTTTAAAATTTTCAGAACATAGCGCTAAGAAGCTAGGGGGGAAATATATGCAAGGAAATGCGATAAAAACATGTTTGAATTTACTGCTTTTGATTTTATTGGACATTATTATATATGACAGGATAAAATACTCTTTCATCGCAGAAATATTTCAAATCCGGTTACCTTTAAATATATTCGAATCTTTATCGCAAGCAAATAAAATTGTAATACCAGAATGATTTATCCAAACATAAATCTATCGATTTCGTTAAAAAAGAAAATATAATTCCAGCTCGGGCATAAGTATTACCGTGTGTTTATTCCTTAAAGTTTAATTTTGCCTCAACATCTGGGTTCTTGTTAAAATGGCATCGCTGTTGACACATTCACATGCCAGATGGTTTTCCGAAGAACTGCGGAGAAAAACCATTTCTTCCCTTAACATTTTCAACTCGAGTGGTAAAAGATTCAGCAAAGGAGCAAGTGCATCTCCAAGTGGAGCAATAACAGCATTTTCGGTTTCAGTAGGGAATTCGTTGTAGTATTTTTTGTAAACTTTGGTATTTATTTGTTCATAATTTTTCTTGTGCAGTTTGGTACTGTTGTACATTGTTTTCATTTATATACGCACAATTATAACAATCATATTTGCATTTTATATGATTTGTTATAATTGTGCGTTTACTTAAAGTATATTTTCGCTTGGTCGTGAATTTTTGGGCATTTGGTAATTTTAGGGCGGTTATTTCGTGTGTTGTGGGCATTTTAATCCATGATGGAATTGTCGTTAAATTATACAGATAACTCGAAAGGGGGCGAAAATACGAGTGAGACTCTTCCGCTGATCTTGGTGCCAATATCTTAAGCGAATGTCCAAACACTTGCTGTCAATATCGTAACCGGTTGACTGCCTCACATTTGGTGGCAATGGTAAAGTACTCTGCGGCATAATAATATATAAAAGTTGTCAAGCCGAATGTCATCTTGAGATGTTGGTGGAGAGAAAGAAGGATCCTTTGAACTGCAGTATTTATCTACGCAGTTTATTGCCTCTTTGTTGTAAATAGTTATAGTTTTTTTTAGGCAGGGAATGTATTCTTGAATTATTTGAATCATAAAACTGGTGTATATATTATTTTAAAAACAGGATCGTGGAGAACATCCTAATAGAAACTAACTCATACTCATCTTACAAGTAGAGAAAATTATTAAACTCAAGCATGAAGTTCGCCTGGGTATGAAGCCGGGTTGAACCATTTGTATTAACCATACAGCACTCTTAACCAGTCGGCCAGTGCTATCTAAGCGCGGCCAGTGCTGCTTAAATCCCTTGGGCATTGATGGAAACTTCTAGAACAGTATCTTAATGGCGAATTGAATTATTCTACTCTGATTGCGGTATATCCCGAGAATGAGTTGTTGTACTATTGTTTCACCCTTGGGGAATTTCATAATGTCAAGGGCAGAATGCATTCAGCCTTTTGTTTAGCTGTTATGCATTTAGTTTTAGTTTATAAATATAAAAATTACTTTTATTCATTTTTTTCAAAATTTTTTCTACTTTTGGCTGTTTAATTTATTAAACACATAAAAAAATCTATATTTAAATAAACGTTGCTAGCATGTATTTTTCGAATTTTGGAAATGAAAGGAAGGATGATCTTCTAGCGATGGTGAAAGGGGTTATATGGTGCAAAACAAGGTCGAAAACCACTGGCCGGCCTATACTGTAAATTCTGCCTTTTTTGACTCTTCTACTACTGATGCTATTGTTATGACAAGAACTACTGAGCTACTATTGACTATAGCAATGAACTACCATAGACTCTACTATTAGTGACTCTTCTACTACTGTCATTGACTATAATATTATTGGCCCATTGTTATGAAAACTATTACTGTCAATTTCTAGAGAACATTCCATATAAATGACTATGGACTATGATCACGACAGATTTTGACGATGGTGACAAAACTTATAGATTACGTCACAGTGTCGAAATTTTCTTCTTAGACTGCTCCAGCGACATATTATCATCCGTAAAGCACATCAATTGCAAATTTGAACGTGTGGGTGTATCTCTGTTGTAGTAATAATTAATTTGTTACAGTAATTCTTGAAACAGATTATTACTTGAAGTGAGAAATATCCAGTGCTGCTTTCAAATTTATTCTTCTTTTAAAATGTTGCATGAAAACAAGCTGTGGATTGAAGGATATATTTTTGATTTTTCCGAAGAGAAATATTCTTATTACATAATTCAAAAACATTGTAAAATGCATGGTATTAAAATTCCTAACTGTCGCTTTCTTAGCCAAAGATGCCTTAAATTTACCCATAGATATCAATATGAGCATTCCAAAGAGCTTTTGTAAGTCTTTTCATTATAAGAAACTTTTACCTAATTGGAATGAGGAATATATTTCATCTTGTAATGCTGAGAACACCAAAATGTTCTTTCCTTCTATTTACCGTAGACTGCATTCCGAGTCTTTCTTCTCTGTTAATTTTAAAGTATCTCAATTTTTATCTGGCCACGTTAAATTTTCAAATTACTTTTTTCTTTTCAATTTAAGGTTAAATCATTTATGTGAATGTTCAAAAACGTACTCCTAAATGTTAAACATTTGATTTTTTTCATCCCCTACCTTTGATGGCTCTAGATTAGGCTTGCAGAACGGTTTGAAGATATTCAGTGTGCGACTTGGCCAGTAAACTTATCAGCTTTCGTGAAGTCCAGTTGCATCAAAAGAAAACTCCAAGCAAATACCCGAAAACGATATGTACTGTTACTATAATAATGTTTCTCAAGTTATATCGTCGGTGATAAGAGAAAATATGCAAACGGAGAAATCAATTACAAAGCCTTTAAATACATCTGTAGCAACAATAAGTAAATTAATAAACTAAGATTATTATAGGCCCATTTACAACTTATAAAAACTAAAAAGCATGATGTTCACCAGCTTTTGTCGTTGCATGTGACTCAAAGGAGAACAACTTGTAAAATCCTGTATATAAACTATTTAGCAGAAGAAAAATGGAAATACATTGGGACTCTTGATGAAGCATGAACTTGCCTAAATGACTGCAATAAAATAAAATCTCTGTTTATTATCAAAAACGAAGAAACAAAAGTGTATAAACCTGTTTCGGTCACTGCAAAGGAAGTTTCGGGATGGTGTTTTTGATTGTCCCACGGTTTCTTAATGATTGGCAATTCAACATAAGAAAGCGGCGGGGGAATGTTAAAAATCAACTCAACGTACTATCGAGAGAAAGTTTCTTGTCTGATATTTACAGAAGAAATTTCATTTCTTTATCCCAATCAAAGAGTAAACCTTTACCACGACAAAACAAATTTCGTATAAACAAACAAACAAACGGTAACAAAACACCACTAAATAAACAAAGTACCATTACATTCCTTAAATTTGAAGATTGACGCAGGTGTTGCATATATAAGTTTTCAACGTATTCTATTCATGTCCTGGTAAGTTTCATTTATTGAGCCTTTGGTCACTCGAAAAGAAAACCCGCACGGTTAATGAACTCTGGAAAGCAGTGACAGGAGGAATGGAAATTTTATCTAAGTTCCTTCTGTCATGGAAATTGCGATGCCTTATAGTCCAGAAAATAGCTGTCAGATCTAAAATTTTAAAAAGTGCTCTTTAAATTTTAAATATTAATTAAACGGCCACATAAGCGTTCTAAATACGTATAAACACACACTATGCCATTACTAGTGTATTATACTAGTGAATGCATTTTTCCTCTTTATGTTATTCAAGCAGTTTGTTTGTTTACCGCTCTGTGCTCTTAAAGGTAATTGCCGGTATCTGTTTCATTGAAAATACCATCATTCCTTTGTTTTTTCAGCCTCAGATTGTAAATTGATTCTCAGTGGCCATCAAATTCTTGATATGTGGCTTTTTTACTCTTTTTGCTTCACAAAAGATTCAATTAGAAACCTTGGATTTTATCGTGGGCTATATTGGTGTGGGCTGTTTTGTTGGAGTATTGATTATACAACGAATACCGTGTTTACTCGCGTAATAGTCGCACTTTTTTGTCAATTTTCCAATATGAAAGTCTAGGAGTGACTATTATACAGGAAAATCTACTACACAATATTGTATACTTTTGACGATTTCTTTTGCTTCATAACGAGCGTGCGACTATTAAGTGAGTAAACACGGTAATTTACGGATTGCGGTTACCGACATGAACTCATTTATTGCTTGTTTTTCCGTTCTAGTGTCTGTGGTTTCCAACACTTCCAGCGTTCTGGCAACCACGAGGTCAATCTTTTCAAAAGCCTTTACTTCGTCGTGGTCACCTTCTCAACAGTGGGCTACGGTGATTACCGACCGGACGTCTGGCCTTCCCAACTTTTCATGGTTGTTATGATCTGCGTCGCACTGATAGTCCTCCCCACGCAGGTAAGAGATTTTTCATTTTCCTACTTGCATCTTAAAGTTGTAAACCTACCATATGTTTAATTTTCTGATGGTTGTCATCCCAATCAACACTCATTCTGCATTTCCTCACGTATCCTTCCCCTTCTTTAACTAATTTTACTGTCCGAAAATTTAGAGAGGAAAATTATACAAGTCATTTAATTTCCGAAGGACGTGGTTAGAATCTGTGACATACACTGGTGAAATAAATTAAGAGAATTTGCATATTTGTTCTACGATCTCCAGAACTACTGGATAGATTTTAATAAAATTTGGTGTGAACATAGGTTGATATAATGCAAACAAAACAAACGTTCAACAGTTATAATAGACACACCTGCTCGTGTTTAACACTCAGGGGAGTCTGAAGGTCTGAAACAGCGGTGGCAGAAGACACAAAAGAAATGAGTTAATAGGGAATATGGTCCCCTCTTACAGCCATACAGGACTCGCAGCTTGATGTCATACTGGAAATGAGGCAGTTTATCAGTGCCTGCGGCAATTGGTTCCATTCATTCAGCAACGCTGTTTCCAGTTACTGGATGGTTCTCGGAGGGGGTTGCGATTTGCAATTGCTCTTCCCAGAGCGCCCAGACATGTTCTACAGGGTTGAGGTCTGGAGACTTGGCTGGCGAATCCATTTGGCGAATATTCTCAATCTCGAGAAATTCGTCGACCAGAAGAGCTCTATATAGCCTCGCGTTATGGTCCTGTAAGATGAACTCGGCCCATTGCACTCCGGAAGAGGCGAACATAGGGCTCCAAGACCTCACCCCTATACCTCACACCAGTCACAGAGCCTCTATCAAAGACGTGGAGAGGTGTGCGGCCATCCAACATGATGCCTGATCAGACCATTACACCGCCACCGCCATGATTGTTGATTTCGCGGACATTGGAGGATAGGTAGCGGTCTCTGGCTCTCTCCATATGAAAGTACTGCGAGAATCGGTGTTTAGGCTAAAACGGGACTCGTCGGTGAACAGAACGGTCGCCCATTGCTCCCTCCAATCACTATGCGGCCTGTACCATGTTAATTTGACTCTTCTATCCGTAGACGTGAGCAGGACGCAAACAGCCGGTCTTCTGGCAAACAACCCTGTCTCATTCAGTCTTTTGGAAACAGTAGCCCTTGTTACACGGGTTCCTGTGGCTGCATACAGGTCCCGAGAGAGCTGAGACGCTGCAGCCCCTCTGTAGTGCCTCGCTAAAATGGACAAATAGCGATCTTCTGTGGCAGTCGTGGCTCTTGGACGACCTTGACCAGGCTTTCTCTCGATGTATCCAGCATCCTGGAACTGTTCCCATAGGTCACACACGACGGTGGGCGTTAAATAAAACTCTCTACATATCTGAACTTGCGATTGGCCTGCCTCTGGTCTCCCCACAATTCGCACCTCATTCCATCATATAAACGTTGGTGGTTACTCATTTTTACTGTTCCGATGTGAAGTTAACCGATTTCTGCAAGTTAACACCAAGAAATTCGCCGAGATGTGCTAGCGAACACAATTCATCTTACCCTCCACGCGCTTATAAAGCCTGTTTTTCTGCTGGCTCCACCTACACACACGTGTAGGCTTACTTATTTGCCGTACAAGATTTGCATTTTTATCTAGAAGCAGTGGTTTTTCCTTCAGTGCAGTTCTTTTCATGCACTTCGATAAAATATGCAAATCCTTTTAATTTATTTCACTAGTGTATGTTTAAGTAACAAGTGAAAGTTCCGAGGCGACGGCAAAGTTGATTTCTCATATTTCACAACCCGATAATCCTACAAGTCTCTACAAGAGGATTTGACACTTACTATTTTACTTGCTTTAAATTATAATTACATAAATTTGCCTTTTGAAAAAGAAGATATATTTTTCTAATGTTAATATCTTTCAATTTTTTCGTTACAAGTGTATTTCCGAAATGCTGAAAAAATGATAAATAAATAAAATTGAAATAAATGATATTATATATTATCCTGCAGTTGCTCATAAGTCGGTGTAAGAGTAAAAAACTTTTTCCCAGTAGCCGTAGCTAGAACATTCGCCGCCCAAGGCGAAGAATTCCTAATTCTGACTAATAATAACATGATAATAATGAATAATTCTTTTCTGATTTTGCAGCCTAGGATGGTTCCTAAATTGGCCCTTCCTCTTGATATACAAACAAATAACTGAAAATGAATGTCAAAATTACATAAAATAATAATAAATAAAATTGTATTATTATCCCACAGGGGCATTAACCCCGAAGGGCTGTTATTCTTGAAACGACATTTTGCGTTGAATCACTAACAGCGCTGAATCACTTTTTAAGTTGTTGCTACCAAATATTATCGCCCTGTATTATATTTAAGGAAAATAAACAATGAAGAATTTTCATGAATGTACGTGTGTTTCTCGCATTGTGAAAAACCGACAGTACCTAGAGCCGTGAAATTTTGAATAACGAAATCCTCCACCCGAACATGGGTACCTGGAAGACCGAATTTTGAAATTCGAATTTCTTTTATTATCTGTTTCACATTTTGTAGAACTTTAACGAAATTTTAGTTAACGGACTCAACGATTTCAAAGTAAGCAGTGCAACACTGTACGGTAAAAAAACATTTTTTCTCCAGCGCGCGAGACTGTCTATCAGAAATTCTAGAAATATGGTGTTTTTAAATATTTGTGGTTGAATTGAATTTTATTTGTTTAAGTGCAAACGAAGAACATGATATTTAATAAATAAAAGTAGCACACAAAATGTTAAAAAAAAAATCTCTTGGGCTTAATGTGAAACTAAAAGCTTTCACTTTACTCTTTTACTTTCTTTTTTTTTTAACAAAACCAATGATGAGATTGTAGACGTCTATTTAATTGCGCCATTTTCAGGTATATAGATATTTTTGAGATATTTCTTAAATGACGATTAATCATTTGTAGTTCTTAAATATAATACTTCAATTATTTTTATTTAGATGACGCTTCTTCTTTTGCTACAGCTTTGTTTCACTTCTGTAGCAGTAGTGAGGAAAGTTGGCAGTAGTATTACAATGTTTGAAACTTTGTTCTGGAGACTGTATTTTCTACAAAAATTTAAAATAACCCATTTATCTTAGCAATAGCGGAAATACTTCTTTCTCAATTAGTAATTCTTCTTTACGAATGTCGCTGGGATCATAATTCAGTTTTTAAACAAACGAACTGAGAAAGCAATAGCAAAAATATGCAGCATTTGAACAGGAATGAAAACTATTTTTCTCCTCTTTAATTCCAAATGGCAATTTATAATGTGATTATTCGTCACTTGCCTCGATGATTTACATGAGTAACCCCTATAAAATAATATTTTATGTGAAAAATTATGCCACTAAAAATGTGTCGCCCTGACCAGACCGTTTCCTCCGCTCTCCTCTATACCACTGCTTTTACCAAGACTCTGTATGAAGGCTTTTCTGTCTAAGTCTTTAGATGTTGTGATTCTTTACGTAACAGAATTGTTCCAAAAGTAAAGATTTCTGTTACATTAATATCCTTCAACAATATATTTCAGAAAAAAGAAAATACAAGAAACGTATGTTAGTATCTTTTTCATCGTGTATCTTATCTGCCAGCCATCCTTATAGGATTATGGCTCATTACAAACAAATCCCTATAGAGAAAAGTAATACTTTTAGAAGGAAAGGATTATTCTCGTAAAAGTTTTTTATTTTTTGCATCAGATCTTAAGTAACAAAAAAACGGATAGAAATATATAAGGCTGAGGCTGAAAAAATATGTGTAACGTTATAACACTTTTGCTTGAAAAATAAATTCTGACCTCTTCTGTTTTACAAGTCTAGGATTTTTAAACATAAATACCGTTATCTTCTCGTTATATTTCCCCCCTAGTTTTTTGGCAATAAGTTCTGAAAATTTTAAAAGCTTTCGCATTATTTTCCCCTTTCTCTGTCATGTATAGCTTGTCTCCTCTGAGGGCTAGTTATTGATAAATTGTATTGCCTTCATTCTTTTTACTTTTATTCTGTGTTTTCAATTTGTATTAGCATTTCATCCATTCTATTCCTCTTTGTATTTATTATTTGAAACGTATTTTATGTATTACAGTGTATTCTTAGTGAAATGTAGGTTTCTTTCAAAGAAATGATATTTTAATATTTGTAGGGTTACACTTGATCTGGTAACACTATTTTAGCCCCATAACCCTAACTGACGTGAGGCAAATCATGATTAGGTCTGAAAATAATGGCAAAGTCTTGAGATGTTTAAAATAACCTTTTTATTTAAACAGAGTTTAGAATTTAAGTGTTCTATCTTCTACTAGAATGATCACAACTTGTGGTGATGGAAATAAATCGAACAGTCCAATTTAAATTAAACACTGAACAGTAGTCATTTGCGCAAAGGGTATTAACCCACAGTGCCATCAATCAGTAGAACTGCATCAAGACAAAACAAGCAGCCACAAGTCAAAATTTATTCTGAATTTCCTGGAAAAAGAATGGAACAAGAAACAGGTATCAAGACCGTAACCCTCCACTAATATCCCTACTAAATGTTCTGATGTATCATTCACGGATTTTTGCTCTTTTGCAATTTTATGAAGGCAGTTGTCCAAACGTCATTCCTCCTTGGAATTTGGAAAGTTTTTCAGAGCAATGGTATAAAATACCTCATTTAATATTAAAAAAGGCTTTATTGTCTTGGAAATTACGGTGTAAAATGATAGCGAAAATTAAGGGTTATCAAATGAAACATTTAAAATACAAAACGTTTAGGTAAAATATTTCTGTAAATACAATGAATATCGTCTAAAAATGTGCGAATGGCCTCTGTAAAATACAGTTCCACTAAAAACCATTTTTGATTAACTTTCTGGAGGCATTATGTTATTTCGAGGCCGGAGAGATGAAAAGTGAGCAACGCCTTCCCCGGGAATCGAACCCTGGACCTTTGGAATACGCGCCCAACGTGCAGACCACCACACCACGAAGACATGCTAAG